CGGTCGCGGAGGAGATGACATAGTACAGAATAGTAGGCTCCCATTTGGACTGCTAACACAAACCGCTAGAAACGAAGTAATATAATTTCCTAATGAAATTTTTCGTAGAGAAACCTCTCGTGCACTCGTTTACTCTCAGACTTTTGGAATCAGATATTGAGCTCGGTAATTTCGGTCTAGGGTATTCATCGACAGTTTCATCGTTTGCGAGCACAGTTCTAGTGACATACTACGCGTATTCAATACAAAAGCTAAATGCACCTGACGTGCTTGGAAAAAAAGGGGAAAAAGGCTGCGACATTGTGGATGTGTCGGTTGCATCGCTAGGTGGCGCAAGCCCATTACAAATCATTTCGCTACAACCTATTTGTTATTCCACACGTTCATACAATCGGCTTTGTTGCGAGCGTTCGAGGGAGAGAGTGTAAGATACAGTCCGCTTTTATTTGCCACAGTGTCGTGCCAAAAATAGGCATTTAGCCTTCTTAATCTCGCGCGCTAGTTTTATTTTTGATCACATAAACAATATGCAGTCAGCAAAATTTTGTAAAATCGTTTCATGGCCCCTTTAACAAGACACTCTAGCATTGAACTGTATGAAAGAATAATTTGATAATTGATGAACTGGGGGATCGGTGGCTGAGAGATTCCATTTTCGTGAAATCATGAGCTCCGAAGGAGCGGCGATAACGGCCCTCGCCGGCCGCGGTGATACTGTTTTTCCCGGCTCAAGTGAGTACAGGTTTCTGTTGCCCCAGCTTCCATCAGGTGATTCAATGAAGAAAGCGGTCGTCCTTCACTGCGACATGGCCGGGAGGCCATACAGGATTGAGGATTTCCGGCAACCGCTCGACGAACTGGGGGTCCTCAGGGAGGTAGCCGGAATTGGGGCGTACCAGATGTCCCATGTCTGGCTGCTTGACCTGAAGACCGACGCGGCCAAGCTCAAGCTGGTGAACGCAGGGCGGCTCGCTGTCAAAGGACGCACCTGCATCGTCGTGGACCCCTTTAGGCAAGAGGTGCGCATCAAGTTGCACTGGGCGGCGTTCGACGTGTCGAACGACACCATTCGCAAGGCTTTCTCGGATTACGGCGAGGTGAAGGACGTTGCGCCCGATCGCTGGAAGGTGCCGGGCTTCGAGGGAGCCGAGTCTACCACCCGGATAGTGCGGCTGGTACTCCGGGAGGGTGTCAACCTTGACCGCCTCCCCCATCAGCTGCGCTTCGGAGGCGGCTTGGTATTGGTCGTCGTGCCTGGTAGGGCCCCAGTATGCCTCCGGTGCAGTAGGACGGGGCATATCCGTCGAGACTGCCGGCTCCCAGGTGCTCCGAGTGCCGCGCCCATGGCCACAAGCGTGACGACTGTGTCCGCTCCTACGCCCGAGCCGTGGGACGAGGAGTCAACGAAGACCACGTCGACGACATGAGGGACGAGGAAGAAGCGGAGAGAGCGGCCGCGCCCGTGAAAACCCAGGCCGAGCAAGCCAAGAGCGATGACGCTTCCGGCACCTCCCCCGAAGTGAGCAGCCCCGTGCTGCCGGACAAGCCGTCGACTGCGGCTCCTGCAGATCCACCTGCAGTCGAGCGCTTGACGGTAACTCCAACAGGGATCGCCGGCGGCGCAGCTGGTGCTTCGCCATTGTCAGACGAGGTCTCCATCACACCAGAGATGGACGCCGAGCTGGGCTCTGCGAAGCGTAGGTTCGACGTCACGGACACGACTGGTCAGGAACTTCGGCTGCGTCAGCTCGAGCGCAGGTGGAGAATGGTGTCGGGCGGGAGCGGAGTGGATGGACCAGCGGTCAGGCGCAGTCTGCGGAGGATCACAAGACAAACTGTCGCAGTGAACGGCAGTGCAGGCGGGTTGGTCCTCACTAACCCATGGTCTCCTTACAAAGTCCTGTCCGAAAAGCGACCCTTAATGTCCGAGGCCTCCCAGATCGCAGGAGGCAGAGGCAACTCTACCGTCTAGCAGTCGAACAGGACCTCGACATCATCGCTGTGCAGGAGACCAAGGTCGAGAGTGAGGACCAGACCAATTTTATGGTTAGACCTTTTACGGCGCATTACGAAGTGTGTGTTAGTCACGCGGTTGGGTCGTCGGCGGGCTGTAAGTTGTTAATGCGCCAGAGTTTGGGTGCAGCAGTCGAGGCGGTGGCGACGTGTGCTTCAGGACACTTTGTTCTATGTGATTTTTCTCTTTCATCGTATGATTGGAGGGTCATTTGTGTGTACCCCTCCAATAGGGTTGATGAGCGGCGGGTGTTTTTTTTATTTCATGCATCAGTATTGCAAAAGTGATCGCCTTATTATTTTTCTTGGCGATTTTAATTGCATCTGCTCTGCTGGGGACAAGCCCAGCTCAACGCCCTATCGCGATTTAAGCACCGAGAGCCTTCTTAGGTTAATCAACGAGTCCGACTTAGATGACGTTGGGGAATGTTTGAGGAATGGCCGCGAAATCTAGTACACCCATTTCCAAGGGTCGAGTCACGCCCGTCTAGATCGAGCGTACACTCTTAAAATAGTTCCACATAGGTTCCGCATAAAAAAACGTTCCACATATTCTTTCTGGAACGAGTCAAAATTTTATCTGGGTCGAGAAAAATATGCGGAACGCCAGTTTTTTTTGCCTTATTTCTGTTTTTTTTTACGTGGAACACGCTGGTCTTATGCGGATCAGCCAGTTGTTCCGCTTACCATGTTCGTTTTTCGCGCCAACCTGTTCCACTGAAAACCATTGCAGTCTATATTTTGTCTTGTTCATGTTCCGCTTAGAATTCTTGTGCATTGCAGTGAAATGTGTCGAAAGGAAGTGTATCAGTATTATTACGTTGATGCTGACTCAAGATATTGTACCGAGATATCTGACTATTTAGTGGATGCAGGTTATTAATACTAAGCTCTGGATGTTTTGTGACAAAAGGTTAAGTGCACTTACAATCGTGTCAAATTACCGGAACAGGTTGAACAAATTTCTAATCGAATGAGAGGCGCGCCGGTCCCCGCCGTCCTTTGATAAGTTTGCAAAACATATTTGTTTATTTTTTCCTCTTAGAAGCACATACGGTGATGGTCGTTGCTTGATTGTTGAGATCTTTTTTAATTAAACTTTCGCTTCAAAGTGTTATAGCAAGTCCAAACTGATTATAAAATAAATACACGCCCTGCTGTGCTCAGTTCTTGTTACATATCTCTTGTCATCTGAGTCCGTTCTGCTTCCTTCACGTTTCTTTGCTCCTGACCATTGCATATATATACATATATATATATATATATATATATGTATATATATATATATATATATATACACATATATATATATATATATATATATATGTGTGCGTGTGTGTGTGTGTGTGTGTGTCTGTGTGTGTGTGTGCGTGTGTGTGTGCGCGTGTGTGGTCGGTAAGGCCGTCGACGGGTGGAGCTTTATGAAATAGTTCTGACAATTGCTATAGTGATTGGGGGTGCCGCGAACCGACCGAGGTTCGAGCTCGACCAGGTTCGACTTTTGCGAACTTTTAGTGGAAAATTCGACGAACCTTGTATTGAGGTTTGACTCATGTGCGCATGCGCCACAGTCTGGGCAGTTGGCTTCGGACTGGATGGTGGTGGCTAAGGAATGAATTAAGGACAGCGCTGATTTGTTATTTCAGTTTATACAGTAAAAAAATTAAGTTATTAACTTCTTCGGTGATTAGAATTGGTTCCTTTTAATTGCAACAGGTTATAAAATTAAAAAAAGAAACATTTTGCATATTTTTTTTTCCAACCTAGAAATGCTTGTATCAAGGCCTGGCCACACTGTCCAGAAAGTCGAACCGGTCGTATCTGGTGAAAAGGTCGAAAGTTCGTCAAACCGGTCGATTCAGTCGAACCCCGGAAGTTCGACCTAAAAATCTGGTTCGACAAAAGTTCGCGACACACCTAATAGTGATAGCCTGGTGAGGCCCCCACAAAACTGCTCAAAACCAACTACTCATGTTGTAAGTGCTGTGTCGCCAGGTTATGTTATAAAAACTTTAACAATTACCCAGCTAAAAAGAATGATCTCAAACTGAAAAGCAAAAATCGTTTTTTTTTTCTATTGTCTGAATGGGATTGCGCTCCGGAACATCGAGTCTGATTGTCACTTTTACCGTTTGACTGATTTGCGCTAACGAACGCAGGCTGCTCAAAAGAAACAAGCGATTTCGTTGAAGGCACGACCAAGAGTATTCTGGTAGAAATCCGCATTTGTCCCTCAACATCATGGTACTCTAATAAGAGATATGTGTCCGATGTATTGTGAAGTCGCGAAATGTCAAACGGCGGATCACTAAGTTTCACGCAGTACGAACTCCGACGCCTGGCGCATTCAGACAGCGGAAAGACGCGCGTCGTGGGGTAAATTTTTTGCTTATTTTTGTATTGAAAAAAGTCGCGCGCCGTGGAGGACGACGCAGGGAGACGACGCCTCGGAACCCAATTTTTCCCACGACGCGCGCGCTCGAGCCAATCAGCGAGCGTCCGGACGTTACTTGTCACCCTTTTCCGGTTAGGACATTTTTCGCTGTTTTTATTTTCGACCTACAATGAAGGCGAAAAGGCGGAGGCGTCGACCTGGTTACGGTGGCCCTTCTAGCCACCGTAACCTGGTCGAGGAATTTGTGCAGTCGCCAAACGTGGCTGGAAGCCGAAACCGAAACCAATCTTTGGATGAACGCTAGCGACCCGTCATGGCGCTGCTGGCGTCTCCCGTTTCTATTATCTTCATGGGTTTTGCTGTGTTGCTTAATAAAGTTGACTTCCTTGTGCCTACGCTCTACCCGAGTGCCAGAAACCATGGTGGTTTGATTTTATTCGCCGCTATTTTCACAGTGTGTGACTTGCTCCCGAAAGGCTGCCTATCGTTCCGGATTTTGCTTAGCTCACATGTAGCGCCCCCTGCCTTCCGCGCTTCGACGACTAGCAGCCAGGCCTGTAACAGCAGCGCGCGCGCGTGAAAATCGGTCCAATCGGTCTTTCACCACGGTTTACGGTTTGCCTGAAACAAAGAAACGTCAGCGTGGGGAAGCCCGAGGAGCGGCTTCCAAATCAAGAGTGGCGTTCTTCACTTCGATGAATTACAAGGTGAGCGGTTACCAAGCTTTTCTGTATTTATAATGCGCAAGAAGCTCTGGCTCCAGACCAAGCTTTCTGTCTTTGGTCACTTCGGTACCTCGTGAATTTGGGGTGAGTATGCGGAGGCAAAGCATGAGTGGTGGCTATCTAGCGCGTGTACTGGAAGCGGAGCCGGAGCTTCTGGCGCAGAGTTAACCATTGCGAGAGTTCATGCACTCCAAGAGCCTCGCGTTTATGGCCTTCGCCGCGGAGTGTGCACGTGGTTCAAATTTGGCTGCGGAGTGTGCACGTGGTTCAAATTCGTTCAAGTTCGATCCCACACCAGGGGCGGCCGTACGTGCATTTTTGTTTGTAGTGTGCGGCGTGCTCGCCACTTAGTTCTATTTTTTTTCTTTGTATATCATGCTCTCTGCCGATTTTTTGTTTTCGATGCCCGTCTTCGTGCTCATGTGCGACGCCTCGCCAGTGTTTTGACTTGTTAAGCTTTTCTTTGTACATACTCATCTTTGTGCATATTTTAATTCTCGCGTAATGACGCCACATCGGTTTGAGCCCGTACTTAAAACAGTGAACACGAACGGTGGAGTAGTACGTGGTTTTTCGGAGCAATCTGAACGTCGGACGGTGAAGGCCTCGGTAACTGTCCGCGTGTCTACCTTTAATAGCGAGATTGCGCGTTCCCACTGTATTGATGGAGCCAGGGGTCGTACCCGGAAAATTTATTTGACAGAGATTGGGGAGTATATCTTGACAGGGCATTTGCATTTTATCTAAATATGAGATAAAATTATCAACCAATATCTTAAAAAATTTCAAATATCGGTATGTATGAGGAAGAAATCACAATAAGTGTAGAGAAATGTTTCACCTTCATTACTGCAGCACCTTTAGTTCGCCCAGCCAACCAGGTTTAAGGAGGACGACATATGGGTTTTTGCAAGTCCTTTTTGGCATCTGAGCCTTTTGTGAAAACTTGTGCTCGCACCTGGAGGCAGCTAACGAAGGCCACCAACCTTTAGTCACGTAACGGGGAGCTCTATAGTTCTTTCAGGCAATATAAGCTTCCGTGGTCTCATTGAAGTCTGGTCGCAAAATGAAATGATTAAGTCAAAACAACTTAAGGGAAATAAGTCAAGAGTTTCGGGATGTGACTAAATGACATCACTAAAGGTTGTCACTGAAGGAACTATATACGGGGGAGCCATGAGAGTGAAATCACGCTTGCTAACGAAAGCATGGCACAAACGGTTACTGTCAATCACTGCAATTAGTCGCTGTGCCTCATCATTCAACAGGTAGATGACCAAACATTCCTTACAGGTGTCGCATCTCTGCAAGTCACCATGGCATGTTCAACCGTCTCCGAGGATATCTCGGGCGTACTGAGAGGTCGCTGCAAAGATTGCGAGTGCAGCGGCTTCACGCGGACTGTGGAGCTCATCAGTCATGAAAGGGTGCCTCTTGGGTGGTGCATTTTGTGTGGGCATTCCCCTGTGTCACATGGGGTCCTCACAGGTTAGTATTCATTTGTCATCCAGCAGTGCTTTATTTCTACTTTATTTGTGCTTTGTGTTAGGAAGCAGGATGATCACGGTTGTTAGATGAAAAAGCGCCAGACAACGCAGACAAAGGCAAGAGTTGGAGAGGACGATGCGCTGCTTTCAGCTGATTTTTATTCCGGAAAATGAACATATATACACTCCCAGGCAAACCTTTCTTTCATAACCAAACTTTTTGCAAGATAAATTTCATTTCCTTGTATCCATTTCCTTCTCACGATAATTTATCTCGCGAGAAGTTTGTTTATGAGCGAAAGGTTTGCTTGCAAGTGTCTACATGTTCGTTTTTCTGAATAAAAATTCAGTTGAAAGTAGCGCATTGTCCTGTCCAATTCTTGCATTTTTCTTTGTTGTCTAGCACTTTTTAATCTAATGACGTACCAACTTGACCAACTGCAGGTTCTCTTAGGATCACGGTTGCCCTTCTAAATTTGCTTTCCAAAACACTCAAGTGTCTAAGCTCATCACATATACATCATTTCTTAACGTTTTTGGCGTTATTGCTCCTCAGCCATCTGTGGGACAGCTGTTTGATGTGTAGTTTGAGGATGCCTCACATCCCGACGCAGACGTTGGACAAACATCCTAGGAACGGAATGACAAAAAAAAACGAAAGCTAATTCGCATACATTTTGTAACAATGTATGAACAGTGTGGGAAGCACTGGACACAGTTGCTGGCTTTAAAACGTATACAATGCAGATAAACATGATGCCATGTTGTATGTGCACACTCAAGTAAACATTTTAAATTGAGGCAGAATGGAGTAGTGCAGCAATTATTCTCTATTTTTTCTATATTGCTTCCTTCAACTTTACATGCCTAAACATTAATGTTAAAAAGAGAGTTCGGTAAGCCTCAGAGCAGCAGCTGACATTAGGCCAAAAGTCTTGGCTTGAGGGTCCCAAAAAGCCAAGCCTTGGTGAAAGTGTGGGCACTACTCTGAGACAACTACCTTAAGAACTTTATAACATTCTTCGTCTTAGCTTTGATCCTCTTTATGTTTTGTTTGCTCTTGTTTAGCAATGAAGTGTTTCAAAAGGTCAAGCATCACCTGGCTGTTTATGTATTCCTTGCAGAGCACTGGACACACCAGTTGGAAAGGACCACAACAGTGCACGAATCTGCATCAGTCGCACCCTTGTTTGGTTCAGTATGTGAAATACCGACTGAGCCTGTACAAGTCGTAGCAGTTCCTCCCTTGGAGCAAATGGTAGAAGATGCCACAACATCTTGTGCAACGATGTGCCAGGAGACACCAGATATTCCAGTTCCACCTTTACCCGCTTCAGCCCACTCATCAGATCAAGCCAGGCTACAGGTACCACATGTGTGCAAGTGCTGTGACTTTGTTACGACTTATTTCAACCATTTTGTGGAGCACATGAGGGAGGTTCACCCTGGGGTTAAACGGTACAGATGTACAACCTGTAAGGCAACTTTTACAGCTCTGTACCGTTACAAAGAGCACTATAATAAGTGTCACAAACCTGTCTCGAGTGTCCTTGAGCCTCATGCTCCTACAAATGAGAACTGTGAAGCAGACGGTGGAGATTACAGCACTCAGCTATCCAGATCGTCTGTAATGACCGATAAAGCAAGACTTTCCGACTTGTGCAGAATGCTAGAAGGGAAGCACAGGAGTGCAAAAAATGTTGTTAATGCTGTTGTGGAGGGAGTGTTTGAAATGTTTAGTGCAAGAGGTCTTGATCTAGATACTTCACAACTGAGCACTGACAGGGACAGAAAACGCCTCTATGAGCAGAGTGGTATATATGTCAGACCCTGCCAGAAAATCCTTCCAAATGGATCTAAGGCATACTACATACAGCTGAGGCCACTGCTGCAAAACCTTCTTAGGCACCCTGAGATAGCAAGCTATCTTCTGCAACCTTTCTCTTACTCGGATGACGGTTTTCTAAGAGATTTTAGTGATGGCATAAGATTTAGAAGCCATACAGTATTGAAGGAAAAGGAGAATGCTCTAGGTGTACTACTGTATTGTGACGACGTGGAAGTGGCTAATCCTTTGGGAATGAAAAGGGGCAGATGTGGAAAACTAACACTTTTTTACATCATGTTTGCCAACATTCCTGTTTCAAAGCGGTCGAAACTCAATTCAATCTTTCTTCTTGCAGTGGCGCATTCAAATGATCTAAAAGCCGTAGAAGCGAAAACAGAACTACTTCAGGATTTCATTTCAACCATGAATGAGCTGTCATCTGAAGGAGTAGTGGTTCAAGTAGAGCAAGGGGAAATCAGGGTATATGGATGCTTGCTCGCATTTCTGGGTGATAGTCTTGCATGTCACAACATTGCTGGCTTTAAGGAGTCTTTCTCACCAAATGTTCGCCATGCATGTCGCCGCTGCAATGCTCTCACATGCAATTTTCCTCACATTTTCTTACATGCTGAATGTCCCCTGAGAACTGACACTGAGATCGAAAGACACGTCCAGAATTTGTTGACGACAGAAAATGTATCTGACCGCAAGGAGATCTCAGCTTCTTGTGGTATCAAGGGGCCCTCTGTTTTGGCTCGCATCACACGCTTTTCATTGACTGAGGACCTGCTCTTCGACCCTATGCATGTCCTGCTGGAAGGTGTTGTTCCAAAAGAAATTTCTTTGTTTTTGCATCACCAAATCCATGACCTTCGCAATTTCAGTAGAAGGCAGCTGAACGATTGTTTGAGCAACTTTCAGTTCAACTCATTAGTCAGTTCCAGCGATTATCCACGTTTATTTGATGCTACACTGAATTTGGTGTCATCTGCAAGTGCGACTGCAGTTTTAATGCTGCACCTGCCATTGATGTTAGACTCCATTGTGTCTGTCAAGCAGTTAGGGTCGACATTCAAATGCTTGATCATGATTTTTAATATCACTCAGCTGATACTTTCGCCAGTACTCAGTGTTGAGGCATTGGGTGACCTTGAGGCAACTATCATTGAGCACCAGAAGCTCTATTTGAGTTGCTACGGGGAAAGAGCCTTTGTGGCAAAGTTGCATATGCTGCTGCACATCGTCGAGCAAATAAAGCAGCATGGGCCTGGGCACCATCACTGGACCATGCGATGTGAGGGCAAAAATGCACTCCCCAAGTCAAAGAAACTTTTCAACTTTAAGAACGTCCCATTCTCAGTGAGTGAGCTTTTTCAAACAAGTTTGTCTTATTCCATGTGGCATGGTAACGGTGATGCTAAACATGGTTTTCTCGACGCTGGCAGTGACTGCACTAGTGGTGTACCCTACTCCTTGACTGATGCATTTGTGCAAGCAGGTTTGCCACCTTCTGCAATTGGTTCCATCGGTTCCTCGTTGGAATCTGTAGTGTCTGACAATGTGGTGGTCACATTGAATGATGTGATGATGACTCGAGCTGTTTCTGGTGGCACTGGGTTTCTAAGGATCACCACTATTGTTTCCTATTTGGACAAGACTTTCTTCCTCTGCAATGTTATGGTGTTGCGGCGCTATGACCCGGAACTGAACTGCTTTATTTTGCGGGGAACAAGTCATGAGACAGTTGTTACAAAAGATGCTTTTTTGCTTCCTTGGCCCTTGTATGTCTACCCATATGAGAGTGACCTGCACTGCTTGACCCGATTTTACACGCAGCTACCCTAAAGAGTGATACGGTGGTTTGATGCCTGTTGAAAAGCTCTGCTAGTTGTAATTGATCTTTGAGCTGAGATATTTGTGTATCGGAGTAAAATGGACCTATATACAAAGAAAGCATTGTTTTTATTTTTAGCAGCCAAATCTTGAATGAGCTGCCTCGCCCATCCTCTCTCTCGCTCTCTTTCCTACCGCTTGCGCTTCCTTCGCTGCTCCGACTTCAGACTCCACGCATAGCTCTCCTTGTGCATTTCGCCCTCCTTCGGCCCCGGAGTGAGCTAGAGTCACTCTAGAGTGACCACCTCTCAAACATTTCTTGGGGGAAACCGTGATGCAGTGTAACCCACTTATAACGATGAGAAAAGCCGAAATTTAAATCGTGATAACCGATTATCGTTGTATCTGGACTAGAAACTGATCATTTCCAGTCTAGAAATTCTAGAAACTGATTATTATAAGCGGTACAATGTTATATGCGGTATCGCTGTAAGCGGGTTGCACTGTATAACTTACCTGCATTACTTCAAGAAGGTGTTTCTGGGCACAGACTTTTATTTTTATTTTCTTTGTGGAAGCACATGTCTGTCCTCACTAGTACATAAATCATTATTTTATGGCCCAGCTGCACAGACCTACAGAAGTATAAATTGTAATATATTTTACTCTTAGGCTGGACGACAAAAAAGCAGTAAAGGACGCTGCAAGCAGTGGGACAACCTAAGCCTCCCGACATTCTCGGAGTACCTTGATTCATTTCTTTGTGGACATGGAATGTTGAGTAAGACCCGAAAGCACATGAAAGCACAACTGAGAGATGAAGTCATTGCTTTCTTGGAGTAAGTAAACATTAATTACTTACTGTAGTGAAATAAGCTGTTGATAGTCGTAGCAAATTATAATTGTCTTGCACAACAAAACATTTTCAGTGAGAACCAGTTGATTGAGAGCTCCAACTGTGCAATAAGAAGATGGGAGTACCATGGCCTTGGTGAAGCATTAGCTCGGTCGTTTCCTAGCGTGGTGTGGGAGACGACAAAGCACGGTCAAGTAAAGAAACTTGATTTTGAGTTCGGTTGGGTGAGTAGGGTCTAAACAGTCCATTTTGTTTGAATCGCAAACTACTTTAAAACATCATAGTACCACTGTATAAATCCTTTGTAATATCATTTCAAGGATTATTTTTTCTTGATGTGAAGTCAAAGGTTGAAACGCAAAAGTCAACCTGAGGGGCAGCTTCCCCTCAATACATTGATGTATTGTAGCTTAACAATATTTGAAATACAAAATATTTAAATAAAAGCATCCAAATAGTACCAGTCACCGTGCTGTTGTAAAACTGCAAGGCAATGTATGCGTTCTTGAAGTAACATGGCTATTTGGGCCAGGTGGTTCATAGCTCGAGAAAAAGTGCCAAAAGAGTACAAGGACCAAGACAAGAGGAAGAAGACACGGCTCCCTCACTCCGTTTTATGTTTGACTTTAAAGGAATGCCGGGGTCTTTTTTAGTACCTGTTACCGTGCAAACACACTCCAGGTGTCGAAAAGAAAGAAAACGTTTTCTGGAATTGTGGTCTCCTCTAACCTGAAATCGGTTCACGAGCCTAGCTTGTCTCCAGCGGGCAAAGTGAAATGGCCCCGAAAAGTGGGACTCATCATAAACGATACTGGTACAGCCTCTTAAAGGGCCACTGCACTCCCAAGGAGCATCTTGTTCTAATCTACATGGATCCAACAAGTGCCTCAAAAATTATTCCTGCCCCCCCCCCCCCCCCAAAAAAAAAGAAATTAGTACAATATTTACGCCATGCGGGGCACTTTATCCAAGTTTGACGTTTTCACCCAGTTCCGCTTCCTTTTTCCAGATTGACTTTATTTTGAGGACCGAGCCAAAGAAATATAGTCAACTTTAAGAAAGCATGCGAAAACAAACTTAAAATGTGCCTGATGGCATAAATATTGAGGTACAAAATTATTTTTGGGGTGGAATGGTTTTTGAAACACACTTGTTTGAACCATGTAGTTTAGAAACTTTTCTTGAAAGTGCACTGCTCTGGCCCGGGACTAAATAACAATGTGGAAACAAAACTGTTGTCCTGCATTCACGCAGGGTTATCTGACATTAATCTTGTCTTTGGTTTGTTCTTTGCATTGCTTTGTTTACCTAATAAAATATGTTCTGCTTCATCCTTAAACTTAGAAAATCGTTGGAAGTGCTCAAAGTTGCCAAGTAGTCATATTGGGTACGAATCAAATATGTCATTCACAAAATCGTTGATTTATGCTATATGCATTCTTGCAGAGATCATTCATGCGATCCGTGAGTTCAACAAGAAAAACCAGAAAACTGCGGTCCAAAAGACTGGTTGTGTCAACAACCGTGCTCTCTACCGACGCCTGTGATGGCATCCTTCGATGCAATGAAGCACAAGAAGAATTGAAGGTAAGGATGCCTCTATTTCAGATGTTTTCTGCAAAATAGGTTGTGCAGCATGTCGAACCTGTTTTGGCGACCTGTCCTCAATTTTTTTTTTCTAATTAATGCGAAAGCATTAAATGCCCCATTTTACAAAATTCCGTCGTAGTTGTTGTGACGGAGTGATGGTACCAAAAATGCTGACGGCGCACGTAGAGCAAAAACACGTCACAAATGTTTGGAATGACATCAGATTTCTTGGAGAAGGTCCCGTAAACAAAGCAAATTAAGTACTTTAAAAATAAATGTTGGACGCGGTGGGAATCGAACCCGGGCCCCCGGGTTGCCAAGCGAGAATGGTTCCCCAGTGCCATGACGGCGCAATGATTCTGGAGGATTAAAGGTGTGCCTAGTGCGTGTGTCATTGCACACGTCTTGTCGCCGCCATGTGACTGACTGGAGGCTTTAGAGATTTACCACTAGACATGGACAAATTAATTGCGTGATAAAAACCATATAATGCTTTTGCATTTAACACAAGTAAGCAGTCTTAAGTGTATGTACGTGTGTGTATTTCCGCGGTGCAATCTCTTTGGAACGAGAGCCTAACTTAGACACGCAAAAACAGGAGAAAAAAAGTGGTGGCACATGCTCGTTTCAAACATCAGAAACTACCATTGGCCCTAATTGACCAATGATGGGTGAAAGGGAAAAAAATTACATGACTACATGCAAAAACGCGCCATCTGGTTTCACCACGTAACAAAGACTAAAAAAGGAAGTCCAAGGGCAATTTGCTCAAGTGGGGCACTGTCTTCTTGGCCTTGCACACTTTTGTCACTGACTCACTTTTCCCCCACGCCTCCAGTCTTTACTTTGAACATGCCACGTGGTCGTGTTCATTGATAAAATTTCGATTTTTTTTTTTTTTTTTTAGAAATGGTATGCATTTTTTTTGTAGCAATTCATGTGATAAATACTAGTCATTGCAGCTATCATCCGTCTTGTGCATGTTACATTTGCCAAGAGTGTTAGCAGCATAAATTACTGTATGCTGTGCATGAATGCTGTGTTGTAGCCGGGTGCACTGTAATTAATTTCTATATGGTTTATATTTTTGCCTAGGCGATTGAGGACACAGTCACTGATCCTGCAAGTCTCGACATTACGAGAATGAAGGCCCTCTTGAAAGCTACGCTTGAAGCTCGTAAAGCAAGCCCAAGTGATGAACTACCGGTCTACTTCTTAAGCCCTGATGTGGTAAAATTGGTTCTGAACAAATTCATCCAGCTTATATTCTGTGGATTTCATATCAATTAGTAGTAAAGCTCAGCCTATGTTTATTTATGTCCCTAACATCAATAATGTACAAAGTAGATGGCCCTCTAGACATTATTTTTTCAGGCAGAAAGAATGTGTCCACCTCGAAAGCTACACTGAGATCCTTCCATCTTGCTAAGGCAAAATATTGAGCTTGCAAAAAATAGGTGGCTTACAGTATCATGTTATGATGGTACTTTAGTAGAATCAACCTTTACAAATTCGTTGAGAGTCATGCATGTCCTTTTATATTTGTAGCTGGCACTTGAGGCAGAACTTCGATTCAAATCCTCACTTGAAGACATGGAGGCCAAGCTGTGCGAAGTTCGACAAACACTGAACAGAGGAAGTTTCCTGGACATTGACTGCTACCTTCGGCCAAAAAGGGCAACATTTTCTCTCATCGCACTGGTAAGGACTTCTACTTTGCTGTCTTTGCCATAGACATTGTGTAGACAGGGTTATAACGGAAGTTCACTATGATGTCCGGGCGTCATATGGTGTGTGACCAGCTACTCCTTCAATTGGATTGATGCCATCACTTCTAGTGTGCAAACATCTCCATTCTCGAGTCGCTCCGACATCGAGGTTCCACCTAATATGCATTCTGCTTTAGTAGAAACAAAATTGTGGATTTTTAACAAGATCATAATTCCGAAGTTTTCATTTGAGTCATCTCGCAGGATCGGAATACCCAATTGAATCTTCAGCAGTTCAGAAAGTTAAAGAACGTGATTCTCAATGCATTGGATGATTATCCAACTCATTGATTATCTCAGTTTCTGAAGTAGTGATTTATGAAAAGTAACACTGCTTGAAGACATTTTGTTAAAATTATAACGTATGGGGGATCTTTAGAAATCATAATTTAGATTTAAGAAATTAATTTTCTCCCAAAACAAACCTAATGACTCATACAAATGACCTAATTGCAATGTTATATTTTGCCCTATATTGTATTGTGAATAAGGTATTGCAAATCTGACTGCGGATTTATAAATATCAATAAGAAATATATCCGCGTCTTTTTTGCGGTTTCTACGTCTCTTCAGGTTCGGGCAAGCCAGCGGGCATGGAGAGAGTAACTAAATATCAGTGCGTCATATTTTAACCTGACGATGCGGAAACCTCCTTCACCGATGGGGGCGACCCGCGGTACCGAAAGCGCACAAAATGTGACGTCCTTGGTCCTGTGCTTACTACTGGTCAGAGCCGCTAAAAGCTTCTTTTTAGTCGAAATACAAAATATCAGTGGCGCGAACCGTTTCAATTATTTATAAAAGTAGTCTTTGTTCAGTATTTTAGATCAGAAAAGAAACAATTGCAGTTTATAAAGGACAGAAACAAGTAATGACCTGTCGACATACCCGTCACCAAGCGGTGGAAAAGGCGGCGCATACTAGAAAGGAGTAGCGGGATCAGGCGCCGACACAGAAAAGTCCCGGATGTCCGCAGCGCTGCGGTCATATGGACAGGAGGATCCGACCGGCTCCGAGCGTTCCGAAGGCCTTCGGCGAGAAGCTTTGTCTTGCGGTTTGGTCGTTTCGCAGTATGGCAGTGCGAAGTGGCTCGCATTCTGAAATTATCTTTACCCCGTGTTTGCTGTCGTTTGTGGCCAATGAAGTGTCATGTCGATTAGTGTTTAATAGGCTCTGGTCGCCCGCTGTATGCAGTGGACGACCAGAGCCGCTCTGGCTGCTCGCTGCGTGCAGCCTATCCAAAACATGCTTTAATGGTGCCCTCTCGCGCCGTCGACACGGAATGCGGCAGCTGTCAGTGCTCGATGAGCTCACTACTCCTCCTCTAGTTCACGGCCTCTCACGCAACCAAGGACGTCATGAGGGAGGTTATTTTTTTACTTGTTTTTGTAATTTTAATTAGCCTATAGCTTTTAAAATAAAGTGAATTTGGAGAAAAGAAAAGTTTTATGAAGTTACTACGTTCAGTGCACTCAGGTTCGGTGCAAATTAACAACCAGTATAAAAGTCCTTGCAGGGCCCCTTTAATATGAATGAATTAGGTGCAGAAATAGTCCAGCCCTCATTTCCCTCATGTTAAAATTGTAACTGGTAAATTGTAGGACATCTATTGAAGCAGATGTCCAACATCTGCTTCAATAGATGCTTTAATAATTAAGAAAAATTGCTTGTCAGCTTCTAAATATAATTTAGGTTCGTCAGTCTTTTGATACTGCTAGCATCCTGGCTATTCATGGTCGTGTATTACCTTGCAGTTTTTTTATTTATGGTGATCTGGTTAAATGATCACATTAGACTACATTATATTTCTCTAAACAAAGGAGGAGCCCGCTGTGGACACGCCTTTTCCGGGACCCTTTATCATCAGGATGCGAGACGGAGAACACAAGATCACCTTTGGGAAGTGCTGTGTTCACCTGACTCCCAGATCCTCTCTTGAATGTGCTTTGATCCTGTGCCTCGCTGCTTACTTTATTTTGAATCTTTCTTACCCTTATGCATTTGGACAAACTTTGGGTCTCCTGCAAACAGTGATAGTCAAGGGCGAGGTGTTTGAGTCATGTCTCATGTCATTTAAACTAAAGACTCTCTTAAAGGAGTTGAAAAATGCGCCCTCGAAATGTACCAGCACAGAAACTAACACAAACTAGATGAGTGTTAAGTTATGTTGAGGTTACTATACAAGCCTTATTTAAGGTACCTCCGAGATGCAAATGCAATTTTTTTTTTTTTTTTAAGACACCTAGAAATAGGTCCTCTCCCTCTCAGATGCAATATTTTTTTTTTTTTTTTATTTTAAGACACCTAGAAATAGGTTCTCTCCCTCTCAGATCCAATATGTTTTTTATTTTAAGACACCTAGAAATAGGTTCTCTCCAGAGTCACATTTTCTTAATGAAAAATATAAATATCAAACCCATTTGAAAGTGGCAACCTGAGCAGTGTGACTTCACAAGTGCCCGAAAGATGTCGGGGTGGTCGGAAAGATGTCAGTCTTCTTTCTCAAGCAGTATTACAACACCGAGAAGCGAATGGAATGGAACTGAACTCCCCCTGCACTCAGAGGAGCAGACAGCAACAAACATAAATTAAAAAAGGCATACGTGTGGTCTCTGGGAGCTGCGCTCCTCCAAGTGCAGAAAGTCTCATTCCGCTCGCTTCTCGGCTCTCTAACACTGGTTGCGGAACAAGACTGCCCTCTTTCCAACTACGTTGACATCTTTTGGATTTCTCATACAGTACACTCCTCAGGCAGACACTTTAAAATGGGCTTGATGTTTTTAGTTTCTATGAAAAAAAGATATGCGACTCTGGAGTAAACTAATTTTTTATGGTGTCTTGGAACCCTAGTCAGTCGCCTCACTTGAGAGAAAACCTTTTGGACGTGTCAAGCACTCCTTAAGTTGACCTTGGATGCATCATATTTTTTTTTAGAAGCTTTATCTGTGAGAGGAGCCTCTAATCCAGTTTTTGGAACAAGCTGCATTTATTTTTACACTTCTCGCAATACTCTAAAAATGCAAGGTCCATTTGCATTGTTTCCCTCAGACTAATTACATTGTTCTTCGCCGCCTAATTATCAACTTTTTAGTTCTGAGCATTTTATAGCTGAGGGACAAGTTAAATAAACAATTGGAACTGCGTTATCACGTGGTTTGTGCTCCACTTACTCATTTTGTTTTGCAAAGCTTTGACCATGCCAGCACTGCATGTGTGACCAACAATGTGTATACATCAGCAGCCCTTACCTATAGACTAGCTGTCTGTTCACCGAGTTACAACATAAAGTTTGATTAAATCTGATCATTCTTGTTTTATTGTTTGTGTCTTGGATTTATTTACCATTTTAGTTTGTCTCAGACGTCACATGAGAGGCAAATCTGCTGTGAGCAAAACACATCTGCTAGAGCTGTGTGTGTACTGATGCAGCATTTCCTTTCTGTTAGTACTTGATAGAAATATTGGGCTCAGTCAGTTTGTTATACAGTTATGGCTACTGGAGTAATGGCTTCCACTGACTGATGTTCAAAAGGTCGGACTAGATTTCACAAATTTTGGACGCACTAACATGTTTTAAGGGCCCGTCATTGCTGCCACAATTTGTTGTTTCGTTTTGGATCTGCCTTAAAACACCAAACAATAAAAAATAACCAGTCCACTTAGCTGGGATGCCATTTCAGATAAAACAGTACCAATCATTTCTGAAACATTGTTTTATATAAAGCAGGTCATGGCCTGTTGTCCCAGGTATTTTTGCACTTGCCTTGTTGACCATTCTAAGGTGCCGTTATATAGAGATCACATAAAAAACAAGGAAGTTGCAAGGAAAGCAGTTCTGCTGCAACTATGTTTCTGATGATGTGGCTTTTTTTTTTTTTTTGTGAGCTCAATGTATTATGAAATGAGGTCACAGTGCATCGCAAAAGGAATGACTTGGGAAGAAGCCTTCTAGAATGGCAGTCTAATTTTCACAAAGAGCCCTAGCTTCTGCAGGGCACTGGTGAAGCTAGGTCTGGTCTCTTAGTGAAACGTTAGCACTGGTCTCTTAGTGAAACGTCAGCTGCCGCTGAGAATTCTAAAATGCTAAATTTCAAGTCGCTCTTCACGTGCGCAATGTGCTGCGAGCTCTTGATTTCTGGTGACGCTGTGCTATTAGAAAGCGAATACCACAGCACCAAAAACCTTCTGTGCAGCATAACTGCTTTCTTTACAGCTTCCTTGCTTTTTTATTTTGTCTGAAACCTTAGAATGGTCTATAAGAAGGCAGGTGCACAAATATGTGGGACAACAGAAGCCCCTTACCTGCTTTATATGAAACAGTGTTTCGGAAGCAGCTAGCTTCTTCTATCTGTACCAGTGTTCCAGATATAAACATATGAAACAGCGTTTCACATAGGTCTCCCATTTATATGTGGGACAACTTTCCATATCCCATTATGTGGAGCACTGTTCCGCAAAACACCTCGGAAGTCTACCTGAAATAGTGTTCCACATATTCTCAAGATATCTGGAACAGTGTTCCAGGGAGGTAAGTGGAAAATTTTTGCAATAATTTTCCACTTATAGCCGGAACCCAAGTGGAACGGTGTTAAGAGCGTACGTTTCTTAAGATTTGATACCATTATGTCTTGAATATCGCGTGCACCCTGTTTCCTTTAGTGATCACTGTCTAGTTTTCTTTTGTATGCGTAGTAAATCCCAAGCCAGGAAAGTCTTCAGCTGGGAATTATGGAAATTGAACGCGAAATGTTTGGAGGATGTTTTCACTGCCCAAGTGCAGGCCGCGGTTGAAACACTGGAGAGCCAGAAAAAATTAGCGTATGGTGTGAGATGGAGGGAGCTTTTTAAGCAGGAAATAAAAATGAAAGCGTTAGAGCGGGCAGGCGTACTTAAAAGCACTGAAAGAAACTACGAAATATTATTACGTAATAATTTGCGGATATCGCTAAAAGAAGAGACTAAAATGCCTGGGGCATACAAAGAGGATATTTCTTTTGTGAAAGATAAACTCGAGATTCTAGATCGGGAACGATATCGTGGGGCGATTGTTAGAGCCAGAGCCGAAAGATGGTCCACAGGCGAAGTGCCAACTAAGCGTGCGCTGAGCCTTGAGAAAAGATATGCTCGGCGTAACGAGATAACGGGGGTAGAGAGGAACGGATCAGTTACAACCGATAAGGAAGAAATCGAACTCGCATTTTTCGAATATTACAGTAGATTGTATGCGTCCTGTCCAGTAGATGTCCAGCTTTTTAAAGATGAATTTTGGGGTTTCATGCCGCGCATAGATGACGAAACGAAAGAATTACTAGAATCGACCATCAGCGTAGAGGAAGTGGTCTTTGCAATAGAAGCCCTAAACCCGGGAAAGTCCCCTGGCCCAGACGGCCTAAGTGCAGCTTTTTATAAGACTTAGGGCCGGTTGCACCAACGTCGCTTAGCGCAAAGCGGAGCTTAGCCGGGAACTTAAGCTTAGTTTCGGTTTCGTTCGGTTGCACCAAACTCGCTTATCGCTAAACCTAGCACTAAACTACGCTTAACTTAAGCGCTCAACATTGGGCGCTTTGCTTCTGGTTGTTTCTTAATCCTGGATTAAAAACATGGCGGCTGGTTTGTCGCGGTCGACGCGGTGGACGAAATTGGTTGTGCAAAGTGTTTTAGGCTACATCAGCGTGAAAGTTTCGACAAAATGACTTTCGATTGTGACAAGGATGCAAAATATTGTCGCGTGAAGTGTTGATCGACCCCTGTTTTCAAGTTGGCTCTCCACTTTCAGTGCGTGTTAGCCCTAACCGAGAAACGTACGGAGCTGTGGGGCTCACGTCTGTATTCCCGTTGGTTCTTCTGTCAACGAGCTTATTCGTATGTACTTACTAATTTTCGCATAGCTGTAACGTATTGTTATTTACCACCTTGTTTATCTACACTTGCAGCGCGTATCCTTCAATCTGATCAGCGCGTTGAATAGTGGCAGTACATGATCTCGGCGATCAGCTGATTGTCGACACCTCTGCCGTTTGCATTAGATTGCGGCGGTTTTAAGTAATAAAACAGCGAAAATTCAATTTCTTTCGTTTTCTGAGTTTTGAGACAATCTTCAGTGAATTTTCCTTATCTCGCGAGTAGAATCTTGGCTTCAGAAATCTGTATCGTTCCATAACTGTAACTTTTTTGGTGATCGCAATTTTTTTTATATACTTTGCTTTATATCTTTCATTCGTTTCCCGAGAACGAGATACTGTTGTTTCCGAGTTGTGCTCTGTGATGGTGTTTTCCCTTTACATTTGTCGTTTGTTGTCATTGTGACGATGGTTGAGACTATTTGCCGGAACACGTTTTCAATAAAATTCAGTTGAAAGTTGCGCCTTGTTGTGTCCTCCGTAACTTTTTTGGTGATCGCGATTTTTTAGGAATATTTTGCTTTATATCTTTCATTCGTGGCGACGACAAATCGTAACGACTACTATGCTAGATTCGTTCATTGCTGTATCGGGGCAGGCTGGGGCAGGTGATGCGAAGAGACGACCGTTCTTATCGGCACAATGTGATGTACTAGTGGGAGTTTTTTTTTTTTTTTTTCTGAACTCGACAGTGTGAAACTGAAGTCCGTTTGAGGCTGCAGCGGATGTTCAACGACGGTACAGTGCAGTTCTGTCACCTTGCTGATAGCCACGAGTGCCGTCGATGCAAGGTCTCGTGACCTGACCTCTCGACGACTTCTATTCGACGATTTCCGGGCATTTTCGCAGCTGCCGTGGCGAGTTCGTCACTGTTTTGAACTTCATCGGTCTCAGGCTTGACTTGGTTTTAGTAGTCATCTTACCTGCATACTTATATCCATGATGTTTTGTCTTCAGCGATGTAGCGAGTAGAGTGTCCTTCTCGCGTTCGATGAGATTTGGGGCCCCCGATGGCTCCTTCGCCTCAAAATGTGCGCACGAAAACTACTACCACTGTCAAAATATCCTGTTATCAACCGATATTAAACACACAATCACAGATGTAAAGAGCATTCGTGTTTATTTGAAGCTTTGACTTCTGTTATTGAAAGTTAAACGAAAAAATGATTGAATTTGGAGACCTTTAATTTGTTACTCACCGAAAAAATACAGCGAAAAGCAGGCGCCGACGACAACTACTACGGCAGTTGTTTTTTTTTGTTTACATCACGTGATTCATCTCCGCCAATCGTATTCGTCGCTCTGAGCGTT